TGTGGCTTCCTTGGCCTTCGAAGAAAAGGCCCAATTCGAAGCAGAGGTTCAATTCAAGGCAGAGGTCAGCTCAGAAGGTCATGGTAATGATTTCATGGATTCCAAAGGGGTAACTTTGATCTTGAAGGATAAAAGGCAATCATGGGGGCTTATTATAATGAAGTTTTGAGAAAACAGAAAGTTGCCTTGGTGAGAAACAGGCCAGGCAGGTTTAACTTTTCTCCATCACAACAATGCACCTGCTCATTCTTCAGGGGTAGCAAGGACTGTCTCTGAGAATTTCATTAGGAAACCTTACCCCATCCACCCTATAAGCCCTGATCTCGCCCCTTCAGACTCCTTTTGGTTCCCAAATTCAAAGAACTTTTAGAAGCTACATGTAGATTTGAGTCCCTCAAGGTTGCCCAAACTGTAATTTTGACCTGGTGTAAATGGAAGAGCACAGAATTCTTTGGGGAAGGGCTGGAGAGATGGAAACACCACCATCAGACATGTATGGACCTAGAGGGAGGGGATGTGGAGAAACAACAGCTTCACATTTTGAAATTTTTATTTAATAAAGGTGTCTATGAGTCAGTAGCAACACCTTTTGGCTTATCCTCATATATATGTGTGTGTATATATCTGTGGTTATGGACAATCTTTACTTTCTCTTTTCTACTTTTCAAGTACATTTTTATTCTAAAAAATAAAAACAATTTAAAAAAGCAAACACAAAATATTTTCAAAGAAATCAATTGTTCACACTTTAAATGGATGAATCACATGGCATGTGAATCATATCTCAATACAGCTATTACAGAAAATACGACCAGAGTGGAAGGGACACTGTAGGATAAGCACTGGACTGCAAGGTTAGCAGTTCAAACCTACCAGCTGTTCTTTGGAAACCCTATGCCTTGTCACTAAGAGAAGAAACTAACTCAGCAGCACCCAATGGGGTGGAAAACTCACGGTGTAATGCACCTTTATTTCCACAGGGGGGCAGTCACGCCATTCTGAATAATGCTCGCTAGTGACAGGACCGGGCTCACTATTTCAGAGCTTTAAGACTACAGGGGCCACCTTTGTGAATCCCTCAGGGCAGGCGTGACTGGGGTCTCGATCCCACTCTCAATGGACATTTATTTTCTCAGGAGGCAGTATTGTCTGATGGCAGAGGGCCTCAGGGTCCAGTCCTGGGTAGGTAACTAACTTCTCTGTGCCTCAGTTTCCTGACCTGTCAAATGGACATAGTTGTAGCAACTAAGGCAATGGAAAATGTTTAGAAAAGTGCTTGACACACTACAGGGCAGTGTGTGTCTTTATTACTATTACTGGTTGTGTTGACAACTCTGAGAATTATTATTGGTACCATTGTTATAAATACTGGTTCTACTGGTAGTGGTGGAAAAGCAGGATAAGAGTTTTTACGGGTAACATAGTAGCTATTAGGGGCAGCATGACAGGAAACTTAAGAGAACTAGGTTCTAGTCCCAGCTCTTCTATTAACCCACAAGGCCCTCCTCCCTCCACCCTTCCCTGGGCTCCCCCTTTTCTCCATCTATAAAATGAGGACTTCCGCTAAATCATAACTAATGGCAGGGTTGCAGAGAGTTTGGTCAATTCTTTACCACATTGTGATTTTTGCAGAATCAGTATCTTTGTTCCTTAAATCCTAAGTAGAATTATGAACACTGTCTGAATGCCCTGACAGTGCACACTCACCCTTAAATGGGTGCCCCAATGCCTGGGGAAAGGTGGGCAACTGTTCAGTCTTTCTTTGTCCAAATGTCAGGCGGTTTTACTGAGGTGACTGGACAAGTGAGAGAGAAAGTTCTACCTGGTGGCAGGCAGGAGATACAAAAGGTAGGGCTGGAGGCTTCTTTAGAGCAAAGAAAACCAATGCCAGGCGGGGGCCCCTACATTACCTCCTTCTCAGTCTCGGAATACTCCTTGAGTCGCTCCACAGCCACTATGTTGGTCTCCATCTCAGACGACATCCGTACCAACCAGTTCAAGTACGTGGTCACCTGTCAGAGGAGGGACCAAGGGCAGTTTCTAGGAGTATGAGTTACCTTTATTAAATAATTACAAATGATGGCCTATTTCAGGTCTAACCAGTATTAAAATAGCACCCCATGTAAATAAAACCCAGATTTGCCACATTGCATTTCTAAATAATCCACGGTCACTCAGGTAATCCCAAAGGAATCTAGGGAATATCTTCAACTTGACAATAATATAAAAACACAATATATTAACGTCAGTAAGGTGCAGCTAAAGCTGGGCTTAGAGGAAAATGCATATAGTCTTAAAAGCACTTCTCTTGCAGCTGGCACCATCCTCACAGGGCACTGGGGAGTTTCCTTGACTGAAGGACGACTCCAGCCGCACATCAACTTCTATTTTCCTTTCTCCTTGTTCCTCAAAACTCCACTCAGACCCTGCCCTCTACACCCCCTCCCACAGAACCTCAAAACCAAGGCCTGGGAACAGGCAATCTGGCGGCTCCATTAAAGAGGAAGAAATGCAGCTGACGTTTTGCTTACCTGCAACGAGTAAGACACGGAGAGTCCCACCAAGCCAGGGCTGAGGTTGTGCCGGGAGATCACTGCGAACAGGGCCGCAAAGAGTACAATGCAGTTGCCGACACACTCCAGCCGCACGGCCAGCCATCTGAGCAAGACACACGGGGAGAGGACAAACACATGTACTGAGTCCGCTGTGCCTTCACCTCTGGGGTCCTTGCTGACTGAAATAGCTCCCCACGAGTTTCTGACACAAGCCTTCTCAGACCCGCAGAGACAAACCCCACAGTATGGAGCAGGGGGTAAGGAGGGCTGAGGGGCCACAATGGCAGCCGTTCCTCACTCATCTGACAACGTCAGGGATAAAGAGACTTCTCTAGCAGCAACGTTCCTGAGGAACAGAAGCCTGCCTTGTGGAAACCTTTTTCTTATTTTAGCCTGCAAAACATTTATATGTATATACACACACACATCTCTGGAAGTTGTGCTGCAAATTCCTAAGTACTAAGAATCTTTGACTATAAGAGGCACCAGGAATTTAAAAGAACCTTGTCTTGGTTATGAGTAGAGTGAGAAATAAACCACTATCCAGAACCATCCTAATTCCACATATGTTAAAGTGTGTATGGTCAGGGAAGAGTACAAGGAGGCTTCAAAAGGTTCATGGAAAAATTCTACTGTAGATTCCATTTTTCCATGAACTTTTGAAGCCTCTTTTATGTGTATACATAAATATACACACATATACGTATATGTTGTTGTTGTTATGTGCCGTGCAGTCGGTTCCGACTCACAGTGACCCTGTACAGGGTTTCCGAGGCTGTAAATCTTTACAGGAGCAGAAAGCCTCATCTTTCTCCTGTGGAGCAGCTGGTAGTTTCAAACTGCTGACTGTGAAATTAGCAGCCCAATTCGTACCCACTACGCTACCAGAGCTCCTTATGTATGTATGTGTATATACACACACGCGCGTTGTTGTTGTTGCCATCAAGGTGACTGTGACTCATGGTGTGTGCAGAGTTGAACTACTCCATAGTGTTTTCATGACTATCACAACCTTTTGGAAGCTGATCACCAGGCCTTTCTTTCGTGGTACTGTGGGTGGTTCAAACTGTTGACCTCTCACCTCACCACGAATATGACAGTTGATGGCTGGTGCTGACAACACTTTCAGATTGGGTACGAACTTCTTGTTAGGGCCACATCTGTTCCACACCTGCCCCCAGCAAGGCACTCAGGTGGGCCCGGTGCACCCACCTGTTGGCCACGATGCTGGGGTAGTAGGCTTTCTGATTCTCATCCACCTTCAGGTCACTCTGGCGGATGAAGCGCTCCTGTTCCTCGAAGGCGCGGATAACGCTGACCCCAAGCAGGGTCTCGTTGAAGTGGGAGTACACTGGAGAGCGGCTGACTGACTCAAGGCGCTTCAGCTGCCTGGAAGAGGCCACGTAGAACCTCTGGGGAACAGACAGACAGGGGAGTCAGCACAAGTCCCCCAGCCCGCACTCCTGTTATGCCAACAGGGACCCAAAGGTCAGAAGTTTGAACCCACCAGCCGTTTCATAGGAGAAAAATGCAGCAATCTGCTACCATAAAGATCACAGTATCAGAACTCCTATAGGGTAATTCTATTCTGTCCTATAGGGTCACTGTGAGGTAGAATTGATTCAACAGCACACAACAACAACAACAACAATCTCTATCTCCAGGAGGTAAAATGTTGGAGTCTGGCTACTCTGCCCTGCCCACCTGGTGGCCGCTCCTTGAGCTGCAGGCACAGAGGTGGCAATAATAGTGACAATGACAAGTGTCACTGTCCTGGGCATGGTTCCAAATGCATTTACATATATCAGCTCTTTTAATCTTCCCCCCAATCCTCCGAGGGTCTGACGACTATCTTACAATGCATAAACTAAGGAATCCTGGGTTGGCACTGGAGGATAAGCACTCAACCGCCAAGGTTGCTTTGATCCGCAAGGTTCAAAGTTCAAATCCACCAGCTGCTTCTCAGAAATCCTACACAGGGACGCTATGAGTCAGAATCCACTTGACAGTTACTTAAAAACAATTTACAGATGAAGTTCTGGTGCGGCGGCTGTAGGATCAACACTGGACTGCGAACCATAAGGTTGGCAGTTCAAATCCACCAGTCACTCCCTGGAAACCCTATAGAGGGCTGCTATGAGTCGGAACCAACTCGATGACACTCAGTGGTCACACACTAGGAAACGGCAGAGCAGGGATTTGAACCCTGGCTATCTGGCCACAAACTGTCAATCTTTCCATCGCACTGGCTCTCTGAGGCCGTTAATGTCTAAGGCTTTAGGGACCCTGAAGTGTGCATACATTCTGATGACATCAGGCTTCAGTTCAAAACCTAACTCTGCTGATTAACAACGCAGCCGCATCTTGGTTCTCTCGGATGTCATATGGGTATAATATGGCCTACTTCACAGCGTTTTTTGAGGATGATATTTAGAATCATATACTCTCACATGTACTATATAGTATGATAATACAGTATACATATATATGTATGACTGTGAACCACCAGGTTGGCAGTTCAAACCTACCAGCTGCTCCTTGGAAACCTTGTACAGGGTTTCCATGGGTTGGGTTTGATGGCACTTAACAATATATTAAATCTGTGTTGGAAAAAGTGCAGCCAGAGTGCTCCTTGGAGGCCAGGATGGCCAAACTTTGTCTCTCATACTTCAGACATATTGTCAGGAGGGACCAGTCGCTGGAGATGGACATCAGGTTTGGTAAGGTGGAGGTCAGAGAAAAAGAGGAAGACCCCCAGAGAGATGGATTGGCAAAGCGGCAGCATCAATGGGCTCAAGCGTGGTAACAATTGTGAAGTTGGCCTAGGACTGGGCAGTGTTTCGGTCCATTGTGCATAGGGTTGCTATGAGTTGGTACCAACTCGATGGCACCTAACAACAACAACTATATATATATATCACTAAGCATAATGTCTAATACTATGAGGTTGCGCAATAAGAAACTGCTGTTTTTGTAGATGAAAAGAGATGAACATCAACTATTTCATGTGAAGTAACAGCAGCTGTTGTTAGCTGTCATCAAGTTGGTCCCTGACTCACGGCATCCCACGTACAACGAACCCTAACAGTGTCTAGTCTCGTAGCCTCCTCAGGATTGGTTAGGGATTAGAGCATTGTTCTCCACAGGTTCTTCCCCGGCCGATACTCGGAAGGAGAGCTTATCAGACCAGGTCTGCTCAGCACAGGGAACATTTATAGTATCCCAGGAACTTCTTTATTTCTAACAGTTAAGACCTACCTCCTGCCACCCACCCACAAGGAACCAACACTATCCTGACTTCTATCACATGAATTACTGCTGTTTGCTCTGGAAAGTCATATAAATGGGACCACACAATGCGCATTCTTTAGTGCCTGGCTTCCGTAGATCAATATGAGACCTTCGAGATTCGTCCACAGTGCTGTGTGAATCAGCAGTTTGTTCCTCTTTATTACGGGGCTGTTTCCATCACATGAACACACTACAACTTATCCAGTGTCTTTACTGATGTCTCATTTGAGGCTATCAGCCATCAAGCTGCTAATAAGCCCATTCTGTTGTGGCTATGTGCTGTCGAGTCGCTTCTGACTCATAGTGACCCTGTATTGTGTTTCTGAGAGCAGCTGGTGGGTTTGAACCACTAACCTTGCAGTTACCAGTCCAGTGCTCATCCACCAAAGCCACACCAGGACGCCGGGCCACGAGCACAAGCTAGCACTACGTATTCTTTTTCTTTTTGCGAAATATATGCTTTCCTTCTGTTTATATACACCTGGGAGATGGTTGGTTATAGGGTAGGTATATATTTAGCTCAAAATGATATTTTAAAAAAAAAAAAAAAAAGGGAAGACAAGTCCCCCACAATCCTAACCCTTAAAAAGGCAATGTTTTCATTTCTCGGCCTCCCTTTCCAGCCCTGCCCACACACAAGACATGTTTTGTCTTAGTTATGATGACAGTGTGCTTGGTCTTCTGCTAAATCCACTCTCTTCATAGTTTAAAAATAAAACGGTCAGGGTTGCAACAGCATCTTCCGAATGACCCACGAGGCCAAGCCACACAGTGCACCACAGAGCAAGCTCCCAGCTGCTCAGAGTGCTCTAAGGTCGTTGTTGGGCTGTTTCTTTTGATCTAGGTCTTTCAGGAAACCTTCCATGCAGGGCATGAAGGTGGCACCATTTTCGGGAACTGGATGATTTTCCAAAAGCCGGGGTGGGGGGTGGGGTGGGGGCACCAGTTCAAAGAAAACACAGTGAACTAAGCCTGCTCCCCAGTATTTCATCATCTTTGTTCACATTCATCAACCTCGGGGCTGCAGTGTGGTGGGGTCTGGCCCTGCTCTCCTACACCCCACCTGGACAGGTCTGTGGTGCAATCTGAGGTACAGGACTCTCTCTGTGTGGCTGCTTACTCTTAGCTTGTGTCGTAGTCGAACACCCCCGTCAAAAGCACCATGGCCTGGCCCACTGCCATGTTGCTGCACATGGGGGCGGCACAAGGCAGGGCAGCCCATCACCGGCACAGACTTTAGACTCCGAGAGACATGAGGCCATCCCCCCAGTCCTGCCACTTGGGTAAATATTTCGCTTCTCTGAGCCCTCCACGTGCTCATCTATCAAATGGAGACACAATAACCTAAGACTCCACAGGTTTACAAAGAGTATGTTGTGAAAACAGTTTCTATACAAGAGACAAGACCAAGTGGAGTCTTGGTGTGGCGCTGTAGGCTAAGGACTGTGCCGCCAAGTCAAAGATCAGTGTTCAAACTCATCAGTCGTTATGCGTCCAAACAGACTTGACAGCATTTAAAAATATCTTATTTTCCAGACCAAAATCTCTTCCGTCTTTTTAAACAGAAACTTGATTTGTTTGGAATGGCAATGTGCCCTACGCTAAAGAAGTCACACAATCTTAGAGAAGCAACCCACTGTGGCCACTGAGTTGATGTCAACTCATAGTGGTGACCCTGTAAAGGGTTTCAGAGACTGTAAATCTTCACAGGAGCAGAAAGCCTTATCCTTCTCCCAAGGAGCAGCTGGTAGGCGAGTAGGTTTGAATTGCCAATCCTGCAGTTAACAGTCAAGTGCCGATCTTAAGCACCACCAAGGCTCCTCGTGGAAGAAGTGATCACACAATTAAGGTCTGGACAATGAGATATATTCAAAGCCGTGTTCCCTTCCCTCAGTCTTGTTATCTGAGACGATGGCTGGCGCTCTAGCAGCCATACAGGACCATGAAAGCAACTTAGTAATGGAAGGATGGTTGAACGAAAAAGAATGAAGCAGTTTGGAATATTAACAAACTCACAGAGCTGCCGTATCAGACCTGAGCTGCCTAAATCTAGATTTCTGTAAAAAGAGAATCTGTAAGGGGGCTTACAAATTAAAGAATGTCACATATATAGACACTTCAATAATAAAGATGTCTTTTTTTTTTTTTTTTTAACAAATTAGTGTGTTTTATTCCTTTTCTAACTTCTTGTTGCTAAGTGCTGTATTCACATTTGACTTATAGAGACCCTGTATAGGGTTTTCGAGGCTGTAAAGTCTTTTCTGGGAGCAAAAGCCTCATCTGTCTCTCAGGGAGTGACTGGTGGACTCGAACTGTTGACCTTCTGGTTCATAATCCAGTGCTTATCCTATGGAGCCACCGTGCTCCCTTTTCTAACTTACTGACAGAAAAATAAAGCATCCTTAAGAATAAAGTAGGTATGGTCATCATAAACTGAAAATAACCAACTTAGGTATCAAAAACGGACAGAAACAAATTCAAACCATCAGACAGTTCCATGCTGGGGACATTGGGAGACCAGGGGAGCATTCAGCAGTAGGCCCTGCCTCTCACCTGAACGAAAAAGTAGATGAGGCCCAGGGGCGGGATGATGACCGCGGCGATGGGCGTGGCCAGCAGGATGATGATGCAGGCTGCGATGACGTTGAACAGGGAGCCCATGAACATTTTGATGACCTGCGGGATCATCGAATCTACCGTGTCCATCTCCTTGGAGAAGCGGTTCACCAGGTTCCCGCTGGGTGTCCGCTCAAAGAAGCTCATGGGCGACCGGAGGACGTTTTGTAGCAGGTCCAGGTGCAGGCGGCGGGAGGCCAAGATACCCCCAATGGACACCGCCATGGAGTAGCCAAACACTGCGATACCTACAAACACGCCAAGCACTCAGGTGGGGACAACACAATGCAGGGAGAGCAGGCTCCCTGCTTCTAATAACAGTACCAATGGTGGTGGTAATAACAATGCCGACGACTACTGATGGGAACCATAAGGATTTGCCAAGGATTGTATGACCCCCCTTTACAGATAAGGAGAATGTAGCTCAGCTGGGTGAATTCTTTGCCCCACCAACACAGGCTGAGCTTTAGGGTCATTCTTTTAATCCAGGCGGTATATGCCTAAGGATCAAAGTTATTCAATGGAACTTTCTACAGTGAAGTGAGGAAATGCTTCAGAGCTCTGCTCTCCAAACAGAGTCCTTGAAATGTGACGATTCCATATATCATTAAAACCCAAATTGTTCCATGTGGCTAGAGCTGTCTAACTGGATAGTGCAATTCCAGAAGGAACCCTGTGTGAACCTAGGTACTTATCACACTCTCTCTGGTCTCCACTGTCCCTCAATGATAATGTGGACGTCTCAGCCTCTAGCCCTATAGGAGGACTAGAGAACCGCAAGAAAATTCATGTCTGCTCTTCTGTTGTCTTCAAAGCCTTCTCCTGGACACCATCACACAATTGTGACTCTCCCAAACACCCAGAGCTGCAACCACCAGCAGGCATTCTTCCCAGAGGAGAGAGTTCACGGGGATGGAGAAGCTGTACGTAGCCTTTTCTCATCAAGCAAGAAACCCAAGTGACACAGGCCAAAATGACAGGCTCTGGAGCCACACTGCCACATCCTGCATGCGGGGCCTTCCACTGAGGTCCACTAGCCCTCTCTGAGCCACAGTCCCCTCATCTGTAAAATAGGGACAGTGACATTTAACGTGTGGATTGTAAAGTGCATGGAGTAGAAGAAACACTCAACAACAAGTATTTATCAGTGTGCACACGCCATGTTATCAGAGACACCGAGCACACAATAGTACGAGCGAGCCATCACCACACAGACGACAGGCAGTTACAAGCATGGCTGCCCAAGCCAGACCAGACAGCAGTGGGAGCGCCGGCATGTTTGGGCAGCTCACTTAACAGTGCTGGCTCTCAGTTTCTGCATCTCTAAAATGGGAAAACACAAATGCCGACCTCGTGGCATTCTAACAAAGATACAGTGAGTGAAGCCTCCAAAAAGTGGCTGGAACTGAGCCAAGTACCCATAAGTGCTCAGTACATGTTAGTTATTACTGTCGATGCTGCTAGGTTTGGGGGTCTCTGTGGGGCACGAAGGAGGACATGAACCAGGGCATTTTAACCCTGTCACTGGTGGTACTCGGGTTAGGGAGATTCTCTTTGTGGGACGTGTCTCTCTGCTCATTGCAAAGTGTTCAGGGGATCCTGGTTTCCAGATGTCAGGAGCACCCCCATGTACAAATGCCTCCACATAATGCCAAATGTACACTGGTGGGCATCACCCTGGGCAGAGAATCATGGGTATAAACCAATTCCCACCCACAGTCAGTGGGTCTGAGTTTACACATGAGACTTTTCAGAAGTCCCTTCACCTTGACAGAGCTACATGGGGTGAGAGATCCTCCCATCTTGCCAACGTCCCAGGTAGCGTTCACCATCAACTTTCCTTCACCTTAAAACAGGTACTTTGAGGCTCCCTTCTCCTGTACCTGCTAGGATGCTATGAAACAAACATTCATTCTACAACTAACCTGAGTGTCTACTGTGTGTTTGGCAGGGTTTGGAATCCACCAAGCCCTGAGATTTGGGGGACCCGTTATATAATTGACAGCCTTTCAGATGCAGAGCGTTTACAGGTACCAGAATCAGCAGGGGAGGGGGGAGGCCCACCTTGGGAAATGCCCAGGGCTCCGTAGACGCTCAGACGGACTTTGGTGTACTTCTGGGTCCCGTTGACGATGGGGTCATCCGTCCAGAGACTGAGCCAGTAGTTAGAAGCCAAGGCAGCCACATGGTTACACAAGAAGAGGAAGATGCTCAGAAAGGAGATGAAGAGTCCGATGGCCTTCATATAGTCCCAGTACACGGACAGCTTGACCTGGCAATGTTGGGGAGAGAAGCCATTGTACCCAACACACCAGCCATGCCCACACGTCAGCAACTCAGTCCTTTCTATACAACTTAACGTTCTGTCACGCTGCATCCAGGTGCAACCTAAAGCAATCTAAAACTGAACATTTCTCAAATCACCCCAGGCTGTCAGGAGCCCTGATTTAAGGCAGTCGGGTCATCTAGGGCCAACCAGAGTCCCCAAGTGCCAAGGCTGCAGCCTGACTACCTGGGTTCTAAACCCAGCTCTGCCATGGGGTAAAGCAGTTTCCACACGTGTCGGCAGTGCTGTGAGGAATTCGTGAGTGAACAAGTACACGCAGAGCACTCAGCACAGAGCGAGTGCTCAGGAGAACCGTCAATGTCTTTACCTTCCCCGTCTGAGCCTTGTCTGCCTCCATCAGTTTCCAGGTGGCCTCCTTCTGGGTCTCAGCTTTCTGCAGCTCCGCGGAGCTGCCATGGTGTCTGCGCGTGTCCCCACTGTAGGTGGAGGAGCTACTGAGCTGTCTGGGGAAAGCAAGGTACAGGGGTGTCAATCAAACCACCTTAAGTTACAGGTATTGCTGCTCAGGTGGTCTGAGTGGGGCACGTTCTGAGGCATATGCAGAGCTGACAGAAGGCTTATTTCCAAAACGTAAAGGCCGTTCGTGTGCCCAACTTTTCCACTTCATCAGCCACCCATATGACTCACTCTCTCCTCCCTCAGACCTGGACCACCAGGAGTCGGGTCTCCACCAGGTAGGACTCTGTCCTTCCAGTCCCTGCCAGTTCTCATGGCCCCTGGTAGGTTGGAGAACTGGGCAGACTCAGAAATCATGGAGATTGTGACCTATACTTACAGTTACTGCTAAAACCAGTAACTGTAAATATAGGTCTGCTATACTTAGCAGTTTAGTTACTGCTAAAAACCAGAAGACAAGCAAAGAGCCACAGGTCTGGGGGAGTTCCCAGCATGGTCCTCCATTGTCCCTGCGATGTGCCCCATCCTCTCCGGTGCATGGACATTCTCACCCACCCTGGAAGCCCCCCAGAAAGCAACTCCAAGATTCCAGGCCCTCTAGTCATGGAACCTCAGTGAATAAGCTGGACTTGGGCCCTAATGCTGAGTTATGATCGATTCAATGGATGAACGTGCATGACAGCTTTTCTCTACACCAGCGCACCCCCAAAACCCAAGGAACGTTATCAAACATTAATGGTTTTGATTTCCACCAATTCTCAGAGCACTTCTGAAAGACCCAAACCTCGCTCACAGTCCTTTATCAGCTGAAGTTTTGGGGCTGGGACTCTTGTTGATTTCAGACAGTAATATGGTTACCATGCTGGATATTAGTTAACTCCCTGGGAATGAACAAAGGCCTCCAGACTCAAGCACCCTAGTATCCCCACAGTGAAATGCACAAATGGCACATTACGTTTTCAACGACTAGCCCAAAGGTTGGTGGTAAACCCATTCCAGAAGAACCTGGGACGACAGACCTCGCAATCTGCCTTGAACACAACAGGAGTCATTCTGCTCAGCACACGTGGGGTTCCTCCTGAGTTGAAATCAGCAACTAACAACAACAACCACAACATATCTGGCTTCAGGTCAGCTTCCATGTTTCCACTCAAGAAGCTGGTCGTACACTTGGGTAAAATGTACATAGTCAGTTTTCCATCAAGAGAATCTACTGAAGACTTCAGGGCTCAGGACTTTTCTTTGGGTCTAGTGTTGTAGATACAGGGTCCTAGTTCTGAGCTCATCTGTACGAGAGGAAACCTGTCCAACAACCCAGAGCTAAGAAGGATTAGGGTTGGGATCCGGATCCATCATCATATGCTGTCTTCCGGGGAGCGTGGGACAAGTGCCTGCTTGCCTGACTCAGGGGATGATACCCACAGCTGAGACAGTCCTGAGTGGGGCTGGTGGCGCTTTCTTGAATGAATGCACGCAGAATGCCTGAAACGACATCTCCAGACACCAGGCACTCTACAGACGGTAGTACCAGCTTCTAGATTCTTGCCCCATGACCCCACCGCCTCCTGGTGTAAGCCCCTCCCCAACTACAGGCCAGACATGTGACTGCTGCCTTAGTGGTCAACCAGACTCCGCTCTCAGCAAGCACGCTCCTGTGAAACGGGTTTCCACGTCAGAGGGGCACAGGGCTTAGACCCTGAAGACTGCCTGTAGCCGGCAGGCAGAACTCAGACTACTATTCATTCGGTCCTCACAGCTCCAGAGCTTGGATGTAGAGCCTTCCTCAGGGGAGATGAGACCCCTGTCCTGGCCAACAGAGACTCCAAGCCAGAGGACCCTGCCCTGCCACTCTGGGGGCGATTTGTTACCTGGCCCTGTTTACTTTCCTGCTTGTCCGCGTGGTACCTCCAACAAGCTCACACTGTCTCCTACCCCTTGGCCTCGGCCCACACCCAGGTACTGATGGTCTAGGCTACCTCACTGTGACTTGGATGGCAGCAACCAAGACTGTTTGTGAGGATGCTGGTGGCAACACCCCAGGTGAGGCACAGCTCTAAGTATGGAGCACACATTGTATGGGCAACACAGCGGCAGGCGAGCAACCTGTGTGCAAGTGGGCAGAGCGATTCATGCCAACTTCCTTCCAATCTGTGTATGTGACCCTGCTGCCTGGCCCCAACTAGGAGCAACTACAGGCAGCCCAGCTCACCTAGAATAACCTCCGGAAGCTACTTATTAAGGAACGGAGCCACGGTGGAGCTGTGAGATAAGCACTGGGCTGTTAACCACAAGGTTGGTGGTTCAAACTCACTAGATGCTCAACATGAGAAAGATGAGGCTCTCTGCTCCCATAAAGATTTAGTCTCTGAAACCCTAAGGAGTGGTCCTCATCTGTCCTCTCGGGTCACTGTGAGCCAGAAGTAACTCATTGGTTTGAGATTTCCTGAGGGGTCCCTGGGTGATACAAAAATGTTAATGCACTCAGCTGCACAATGGAAGGCTAGATGTTCAAGTCTACCCAGAACTGCCTCAGAAGAAAGACCTGGTGATCAACTAAAAAAAAAAAAAAAATCACTGAAAGCCCTCTGGAGCACAGTTCTACTGTGACACACATGGGGTCACCTTGAAGAGGGTCAACTTCATGGCAACTGGCACTGGTGTTGGTATTGGTGTTTGTTGAGTACCAACTCAGGGCAGGGGCTTTACCCACAGTAAATTGTGCACACTGTGGACGGTCCTGCTATAAACCCTACATGGAAGATGAGAAAACGGAGGCAGAGAGAGGGTAAGCAACAGAAGCCTACAGGATGTGAAGCCCCAAGTGCCAAAGGAGCAGACCAGCAGGGAACTTAGGAGTGCTGGCCAGACATTGGATTGGGTTCAAATCCAAGCTCAGCCTCTCTGGAAGCTTCATGGTTTGTGGAATGCTCTGTTTTCCCCAGTCAGTCCCCATCTCCAGGATTCTAGAGGCTGCAGAGCTGGGCCCGGATCCCGACTTCTTGTGCGCTGAGCGTTCACTGTTACTATCACATACTGCTCTTAGTGTCTGCAAGTCCCAGGCCCCTCAGAGTGACCCCACCAAACATGCACACCATGTAGGAACGCAGACGTCTGAAGCAAGCACTGACAGATGACTACATCACAAGGCCCACATGAACCGTGCACTGCAGGAACTGTGTTAGGCTCACCCTTCTGACATCTGCACTCCAGAAAGTGGGCTCCTGGGAGATCTGGGGTTGAGGGGTAGCACAGCACAGCAGGGCCCTAGGGAGCCCGAGGTCTTTTGGGAGGTCATGCTGGCTCCTCGTCCCTCTTGCCAACCTTCCCCTCCAGGCAGGGGACTCCCGCCGCCCTCACCTCTGCAGCTGTTTCCCCGAGGAGTCTGTCACCAGCATTCCATTCTCCATCAGCTTCATCTCCTTCGCTGGACCGCTGCTCCCTGTTAACCCTGACAGGAAAGATAGAGAAGGGGGACTGGAACTTCGTGACAAGGCATCCCTTTGGAGAAAGGAGATGGCCTGGACACCTGGAAGCTCAGAAAGCAAGCCCTGCTTTGCTGAGATCATTCCCAGGCTCCCCGGGAGCCACAGGCTGTGCCTGGAGCTGGGACCATTTGGGTGGAGACAGTGCAGATGAAGCTCTTTGAGGATCCCATCAGCTGAGGGTGCCACGCTAGCCAGGCATCAAGCATCCATCAGCGCAATGGGAAGGACACAGCTCAGCATCAGTATCCCCATTGCCTTAAGATGTACACTTGGGACACCAGGGAACAAAGACCCACGAGCAGGAAAGGGCCCCAAGCATCCCAAGGAGGGGGTGATACGAAACAGAAACAGCACCTAGTTTCACGAGGACCCACACCAACAGGTGGAGTGTTCCACAGGCCCACCAGGCCAGGAGTTAACCCTTCTGTTGCCAGGCCACAGGTAAGTCTAGACATGTCTGGGGTAAGCACTTCTTGAAGAATGAGGAACTATTTCAATATTCTGACTATATTCTGGTACATGAGGCCCCCATCAGCATCCACACTAGCCACTAAAACATCCGCTAGGACTCAGGTGCTTCCTTGGATTTTGAAACATGTTCTACAGATAACTGTAAGGAGCTCTGGTGGCGTGGTTACAAATCAGGTTGCTAATCTTACGGTGTGCAGTTCGAAACTACAAGCTGTCCCACGGGAGAAAGATGATGCTTTCTGCTCCTGTAAAGATTTATAGCCTCAGAAACCCTGTACAGGGTAGCTACGAGTCGGAACCGACTCCACGGCACATAACAACAGATATCTGTGCCACAGCTATGATTGAGAAACACTGCTTTAAACAGTTCCTGCAAGTCAGCATCTTATTCACCCCTTACCCCCAATTAATAACAAAGCTCAAAGAAAAGAGCCGCATCATGCAGGAAGGAGGGCTGATAACAAGCAGGACTTTCATGCAATCACATGCAGCCAGGGCCCAGCAGATGCACGATGCTGCCTGAGATGGCCTTGACTGTGTTTCTCTGAGGCAGAGCGACACTCCCAAAGATGCCTGCGCTGTGGCCAGGGTGCTTCAGAGTTCCCCTCGTCTTCCCCTGTGAGCGTCCCTCTCCTGTCCTGCTCATCACTCAGGGCAGGAACTAGTGCTTCCTTGGTGACTCCCTGTGGTCCCACCAACTAGCCAACAAGTTGACATAGTAACTGGGCCGCTGGAAAGTCTACTGTGACAGGGACAGGACTCAGAGTCCAAGCAGGGTCAGGAGAACACCCGCTGCTTTCACTGGTCCTCACCCATCTGCCTGATCTTGAAGGGATTCACCCTCTTCTTGTCCAGCTGTCTCGGCAGAGCTATCCCCAAAGCCAGGGAGCTCTGCCCCTGGCTCAGGACTTTGGATGGTCAGCGGGCCAATAAGGATCAATGATAGTTGGACTTGATGTCTTAAAGGAGTCTGTCTGGATCCCTGGAACTCCCATTTCCTGAGTCCTGCTTGTTCAGTTTAGTCTTTGCTCATCACGAGCTCCGATAATGCCCTTCCGGGTTAAGGTGGCCAAATGTGCTGCTGGTAGCTGACTGTAGGTGGGATGGGTTTGCCAGCTGCCTGTCACCACAGAGAAAGGGCAGCCTTTCCTGCTGGAATCCTGCAAGACGCCATCCTTCCCCCAGGGTCTGGCAGCCACCTGCAGGGAACTCCATCCTACCCCTCCCTCACTCTCACACTCTTGACCTGCCTCAGGAGCAATGGGACTCCCAAGGCAGAAGGGAAATCTGAGTAGTTAAAATGTTACCATGTATCACCCATCTGCTGTGTGCCAGGCATGGCCCAGCTGCAACCCCCCCACCTTTCCAGGCCTGCATCTGACAGGAGAGACAGCAATGATGAGCTGAGGTCATCCATCCAGGTGACCTTGAACTGTTTCCCAAGTACCACCCACATGGGAGGTGTCCAGTGTGTGCTGAGGGGATGAATGAATGAACAGTGAGAAAGGCCCCTTCCCAAGCATGCAGCAACTGCTCAAGTCCACCTCGGCCTCATTCTACAAACACAGCTACTTCCAACCCGGTGCCACTGACCTTCCTCCTCCACATTCATCACTGTGCCGCCTGGAAATTCACAAGATCCAAGAAAAGTGTTAAAGCGCAGTCGAAACATCCTCCCCAAGTCCCCATTTAATTTTCCAGAGGGAATGAATGGGGTGGAAAGCAGAGTTCACCCAGGGCCTCAGTATCCCCATCCCACACATGCTGGGGAATCTCTACAAGCAGGAGTCCCTTGCTCCCAAAGTCACCCCTGCAATTCTTTAACCATCAAAAGAGCTAGGAAAACGCACACTAACCTTCTGACTTCATGTCTGTTTGCAAGGCGGCAGCAGAAAACAGAAATTAAGTGTTACAGTGGGGTTGGTGCACAAGGTAGCTGGAGGCCACGCAGGCTCCTGCTTGCCACACCTCAGCCTTCTGTCTTTAAGGGCAGGCACAGCTCCCGAGAGGGGCGAGGGGCCCAAGAAAGGGGAAGACAACAGGGACTCTGCTCTGCTGTCATCTGGGACCCTGCCCCAAGCTGGGACCCTTCCATCACTGCATTTCCCATCATGATATCCTTGATTGCTTAGTGGCGTGTCTTGAGGGTCTGGGCCAGGTCTTATCTACCACTCTATTCCCAACACTACTGCCTCAGGTTGCATGGACAGTTGTACAGGATGTGCACTGTGCAAGTCTAGGGGCATCATCCCAGATGGTGATACATGTACCAGGCGGTCATGAGGCACACAGCAGGCGCTCTGTCCATCTCTGATAGGACACACAAGTGAAGAAGCAGAACTGGTTTTCCTAATACCGGAGGGAGGCCCCATTCATCATAGAAGTGCCATCTCACAGCCCATGCCCACACAGCTGGGACTGAGAGCTCTGGAGAGAAGCAGCACTGGTTTCTTTCTTCCTCATGTTCAAAGCCTGTGAGCGACAGGCAGGTCACACCTGAAAGACTGTAGGAGGCATTCACACCCCTCACTCATTCAACACGCTTTCTGAACATGCAGGAGTTCTAGTGGGCAATATTTAAGTGCCTGCATGCTGACTAAAACGTTCAAACCTACCCTCACCCCAGCTCCGTGGGAGAAAGACCTGGTGATCTGCAGCTATAAAGACGACAGCCTAAGAAACCCCATGGGCAGTTCTCCTCTGTTACACCAGGGGGCGCTATGAGTGGATGATCTATAAGAGTATATACGAGTACAAAGTGACACAATGGACAGCCTAGGAAACCCTGTGGGGCAGTTCTCTTCTGTCACATGGGGACACTGTGAGTGGATGATATATGAGTATATGTTGTTGTTGTTGTTAAGTGCCGTCAAGTCGGTTCCGACCCATAGCGACCCTGTACAGGGTTTCC